TACATATACAGAAGAAAATGAAGCTGTGTATGTATACCTACATACATATATACAGACACACATATGCGATGTGATGTGATGTGGATTCAAGTGCAAACAAAGTGCTTTATTAATTCAATTTTGTTTCAAAAATTTTATATACATATATATGTATATAGGAAATATATATACATATATAGGAATTTAARAATTATGGTGCTGTTTGAATGCATGTAGTGCAGAGCGAGAATTGGAATAGTTATATATGGATATATACATATACATATACATATATGCATATATCTATATATATATGTATATAGAGACTTACCATGCTTGACTGATATTTACGCTGTATGAGATTGCGTGTCTTGGGATCTGTGAAACGAGTGGAACGATTGAAATTAGTGAAACAGTTTAGCTCGAGAAATATTATCAACTACTTACTATACTCCTCCAGTACGAATATGCCACCCTTTTGTGTAAAACACTTGCGTATATGATCCAAACGCACAAAGAACTGAAATTAATTTCGTTTTTGGGAAGAAAAATGGGAAATATATGAAAATATATTTTCGAGTAAATGCATATCAAACACAAATTAGAACGGAATGTAACGTAACGTAACGGAATGTAACGAAACGAAATGCAAAACAAAAACAAACATAAAAGATAAACAGGGGGATCGGGATAAAAACAACGGCAGTGAAACAAAGAGTATTTTTATTTTTTCAGTTCATTTCTTGTCACACAGTTAGAGTTTGTGGAAAATATTTCATAATCAATTATCGGATAGGATCAATAACAGATGCATATATGTATATATACATGTATGCTATACACATATATATGCATATAGTGTGTGAGAAAGAGAGAGAGAGAGAGAGATAAATATGGTAAAGGAAAGCAAAAACGTTTGTTCTTATACTCGGTTTCATTTGATCATGTTGTCTTGTGTACGTGTGTATTCGTGTGTGTGGGTTGTTCAACTTTGTGTTGGTGGTACTAACATTCAATGCAACGAAACGGAATTGAAACACAAACTGGTAAAGAAAAGCTAAATGCTACGCAAGCAGCAGCACAGGCAAAAGCAGGCAACGGGGCAGGCAGACATGCAGCAAACAAGCAAACAAGCAAAGAAGCAAAAGCAAACAGCAACAGCGAGTGCCATAGCAGCCAGCTAGCAGTTAACGGTTAGTAAAATTATACATTCGATTATACACTGGGAGAAAACAAGTGGTCCGTACTGTACTTTTTCAGAGGGCAGAGTGAACAAAGAAAACGAATGGAAAACAAAGAGAAATAAGAAGAAAAAAGACAAAAGACAACAAAACGGTATAAATGAATACGAAACAAACGAAAATGAAACATTGGATCAATGAAAACAAATCGATTGGAATTGAATATCAAAATGAGAATGCAACAAAAACAAGTGAAACGGTTTTCATTTCTAT